TTATATTTTTCCGAACCATCATTAAGGTAGAATTGGAAGAAATGCTGCAAGTTGAGGCTTCTAGATAGAATATCAAACGAAATACTAAGGTGATCAGATTTATTTTATACCCTAAAATCATGAATGATTGAAACTACAGGACCAGAAAGACAACGAAGATCAATCACTGGATTGCTTGTAGAACCGATAAAAGTAGGATCGCTGTTTTGGACTCCCATTGAACGACCATTCAAAATTATGAGATCATTGTCATCGCAAAATTCCAAAAACAATTCACCGTTTTTATTAACTATTTTATCTTTTTAGGAATGACACAGATTAAATGAATGTAAATATATTCATGGCTTTGGAGGGAAAGTCTGGCAGTATCATATACTGATATTAAAGTATCCAATTAGAACTAATTTTTAAAAGTAGTTGTCCTCTATGATGTTTATCAATCCATCATCATATCCTGTAAATCACCAATTGATACTTCAGTTGAACTTAAGACGATGATTAATTGAGCTGAAGAATTGAAACAAGTACAGTTTTTTAAAGCCACTTTTCGTCCTTTGAAATTGGCCAAAAAATCATTTGTTTACTTGCAAATTAAATTTAAAAATTTATAATTAATAAATTGTATTGATGCATTGTACTACCTACAATTTTGTTACCACACTCTCACGCTCTTTTCTCGCCTTTATCTTTCCTCCTGCTATTTTCCCCTTTCTCTCACTCACTCTCTCTCTCTCTCTCTCTCTCTCTCTCTCTCTCTCTCTCTCTCTCTCTCTTTATAGGATGTCATACCATGAATGAGAGTATAAGGACAGGTCAGAAATTAACAAAAGAAATGTTTTGGTCTGATTTAATTAACGCGTCTTTAAAAATAAAAATACTTGTAAACAAAAAACAGCTGTTAAATTCATGGCTGCCATGTTGGTTACCTACACCCTACCGGATAGCTACGGCCTGTTAGATCGAGCAATGTTAACTAGCCGATTCTTACAACTCTACGTCATCATTTTTCTTGATCTACAGGACCTAACAGAATTAACAGATTTAACACAAAGATCGTGAATACCCCTAGTATCTATTTTATATATTTACCTACGCTCGTAAGCATATATTATTTATCAGTTTTATCCTGACCAACTTATAAAGCAAATATAATGTAAATATAATAAAATAACCAAATATAAATATGAGGTTACCAACTTCTTTATCCTTATCCTTCATCCTTATGTCTTTTTCTCCCTCGTGAATACATCTTTTCGTCTATTTGGTGACATTATCGCTCTACTCACCTCCATTTTGAGAGATCTCAACAATACCATCACTCCTCTCAGTAATTTAATCCATGCCACTATCTTTTGTATCTAAACAAATTTTCGAACTCAAAAATCATCTTTATTGTAGTTTGTATCGTTTTTGAACTGTTATTGCGATCTGAATAAGATACTTTCCAACATTGAAAGTGAATTAGCTTTTGATCAAGTGTTGAAACAAATGTGTTAACTTAGATAAAATTGGGCTTTTATTAAAACAACATTGTTTTCTCGAGAATAAAAAACCTTTAAACGGCATATTTCTGGAACCGGATGAAATAGAAAAAATGTAGTAGGCAGCATTTAACTACATTTTCGGTCTTGTTTCACCGCCTTGAGTATAGCCATCTTCTTGAAATACACCTTGTATATTCAGAATCATTGAAATTAAATGGACTGAATTCAGGACACAGAAACTTTCTTTATTTTGCTTAATTGTTCTTCTGATCTTGTCGCGTGGCTTTACCTTCGCAAAATGTTTCTTTTCGAACCCATTCAACTCATCCTCTCTGCTATACAATACCATTATCTATAGTATTACGGTTAGAAATAATTAAGAAGGTGTGTACCTTCTTGAGATAAGCACAATATTCTGTTTTATGAATTTAACATGATTGACCCGCCCAAGTTGGAAGTCATGCATCTTTAAACTATCCGGAGGTAAGCCGAGTTGACAATTTAACCCGGTGGGTCCTTCCCCGTCCTGGGAACGAGAAAGTTACAGAAACCAAATCGATATCTAGTCGATAATTCACGAGTTCGGAGGCTGGAGACCAACCGTTTAATTAATTGTAAACAGACAAGTCTCTCTTGTCATTGTAGACTTCCTCCTGGGGTTTTCATAAATATTAGCGTGTATGCGGATCCTAAATATTTCACGCTTGGCGAATACGCCTTATTCGTGGGAGAGACGCTATTTCAAATTCTCCTCCGTGGGCTGTCTATTCATTTTCATCCTACAGTCCACTCCTGTTGTGTAAGTGGGTGGGAAAAATTCAAATAACAACATCCTTTTGTAACGTGACAGCTCGTGGAAATTATTAATTAATTAATCTTTATGTAAGGTATTGGTTAAAATAAACAGCTAGTGTCACTAGCGGGATTCGGACGCAAGCTCAAGTGGTAGACCAGCGTCGCATTGAGTTGAAGGTCTTGGGTTCGAATCCCGCTCGTGACACTAGCTTTTTTATTTGAACCAATACCGTACATAAAGATTGATTAATTGAAAGAAGTGTTTGGCCAATCGGACCACAAAATAATAGCCAATAAAGAGTTCTACAACTTATGAATTTGTTAAAGTTTTTGAATTTTTTAAAATTATAACGTGTCTCCATTAAATAACTAATTCTACATTTATTTCTCCTTAATGTTACAGTTGTGATAAGATACATAAAAGCATATTAGGTGATTTTATAGGTTGATGAAAAAATATACGATGTGGTCAAATTTGGAGTTAAATGTTTAATTCTCTAACATCATACCGTTACATCCAGCATTGCATGTTCATGCCAGTTAGTAAATTTCTTGTTAATAATTATAATTTTTTAAAGGGGGTGCATGTTAATACATTATGCATAATTACATAAACAGTTTTTGCTTTTAACCAATCTATAATCATTTTGAAATAAGAGGGATAGTGCATATGAGATTTTCAGTTCGAATAAAACAAATGCTTACGCCATTAAATGACTGTAAAAAGCGCCTCAGAGGGGGGAGGCGGTGGCCGCAACGATTTAGGCGTTGACGAGGCGCTCTTCACTGTAATGTAAAGGTCCCGGGTTCGAATCCAGCGACTCTGCATTCGAACCCGACATACTTACAAATGGGCTTTTTTTCAAAATCAACGCCTAAATTAACGGTTAATATCGAGTTACTTTCATGGCATGAGAGGGTCCTATTACGGTTTTCTCTTTAAGTTATATACAAATTTCATTTTATCTTATTACTGAGGGCGCGGGTTAAATATTTGCCAAAATGCAGGTGCAATATGAACTTTTCCGAAGCCAAAACAAAATGAATAAACCTCTATATTTTACAATGTAGTATACAAATAGACTTTTAACAATGTTGTGAAAAGTCACTGTGACTAACTTAGCATCGATGCGCAATTTCTTCGTTTAATTGATTAAAATTGATTTTTTTCTTAGGTCTCGAGAGTCAAGTGAGTCTTTATTATTATTAAATAGGCTTAGAGCAAACGCGAGAATAACTGAGTGTAAAATAGATCGACTTACTTTGCAATTCCTCCGATGAGGCAGACATGAAAAGTGTAACTGCACGTCGAAGATCATGTTACGAAATAATATGGAAACAGATGTACCTCTTAAGTGAACAAACAAAATTAATTGTTTAAAAGCGTTGTTATATATAATGCCGAAATTCCGGGTATATTTAACCCACCTAGACAATCCCAGTCCCCCTTGGTTAGTTTCATACTAAAAATTAATCGTAATGCCCTATTTTGGAAAATTTGCAGTTTGTATAATTGTTGGAACATACATGGAGAAGAATCATAGGTAACTATGTGCCAAACATGTTAATTATAAATAAGGTTTTGTAAACTGTTTATTAGAAGGATCTTTTATTGAATGTATAGGCTATTCATTGTTGCCTTCCATTGTCGAGATGAACGCCAACCGTGAAATTTTTTCTATTAGACCACATCGGCATTTTCAGATAATTTAATGTTAATAATGTGATGTCATTACCTTTAATTTACTAGGTAAAATAGTTGAATAATTTAATTTAACTCTTTGTAGGTGTAAATGTTTCAACAGTATTGGAGTAGGGATTTCAATAGTTTATTCAGTATGATTAAATGAAATATAGTGTAACAAGAAAATTTTTTGGCTGCACGAACCTTTTAAAAAAAGATAGTTCCTACTCACAGTAAGTTGGTTTCCAACAAACGGGATTTCGAGCCCTTAGCTCATCATCAGGTTGGAGGGTTTCTACTACGACGTTGCTCGATATGAATTACAAAAGTGAACCCGCCGATACCCCCGCCACCACGACGTACCAATGAGAAGCTAGTTTTTTAATGGCGCTCAATATGAACGAGCGAAAAGCGGGAATTATAACACAAGTAAATATTATAATGGTAAACACTGTAAGAAATTAATTATAAATTAGTGATTAAAGATAAAAGATAAAAAATTAGAATACTACCTTAATATGATTAAATTATTATAAAAATGATAACAATTAAAATAATTAATTTAATTATTTGGACGTTTAATACTATTTATGTACATATTTATGGGAGGTAGATCAAAATTGATTATATTATTAATGCATTTATCTCCATGTTCAATTTTACATTTTTTAATTTCAAATTCCTCAAACCAATCTAGTTCTCTCCCTTTGTTGAAAATATGTAACACTGTTGTATTTAAATTTGAATTGAAATTATGTTTTGTTTCTCTTAGATGGTCCTTAAATTCAGTAAATGTGTTCTTTAAAAAAAAAAAAAAGGATTGAACACCACACTCACTCCATCATTCATCATGTCTAAACTATTGTATACGTTTGAATCCAAGTAATTAATTACAAACAATAAAAACATCACTTATTTCGGTAAGTTCTTGAAATCGCTAAAAGTTCAATTTTTTGTTTTTTTAAATTTATAAATTCGAGTTTTTTGTTGTGACCAATGGTATATCTAAGATTATTCGCTTGAAAAACTTGGCTTACCTTGTAAGAATTGACTCCCTTTCTTTTGAGGCCGGCCTGAAAATACAATAAAACATTATTCATTTTTAAATTTTGGAGTAATGTTCAAAGTGCTAAAGTTTGCTAAAGCTGTTTTTAATATAAAAAATAAGCTGGCCTTACTTATACTGAAATGTTTGATGTAGTGTAATCTATATCATGACGTATCTATTGGTAGTATAGGTGGAATCTTTCTGCGTATAAATTGGCCAATAATCTATTCTTTTCCCTCAAACTGAGGTTCTCCAAAACGTTTGAGCGAGGCCACTGTATCTGTTTAATAAATCCATGGGGATTTTGAGTTCCTGCGCTCTTTCCAATCATACCTTTACCCAATCTTTAACAACACACTTGCATGAGTAATCAAATTAGACAGCATGTTATGATCATTGAATATTTTGGCAATAAAGGTGGGACGTAATTTAAACTTGAAATCAATCAATAGTTTCTAAATAGATTGCATAATTTGTCGTATTGCTGAATAGGGATAATATTCTGTTCGCAGCGAATTTCTGAAATTTCATTTTTAAATTTCTATCTTTTATTTGGTCGTAAATTATGTTTACTGTTATAAATATCAAAATTTTCGATTTAGCGGTATTAACTTAAGTTTCCATTAGTCAAAATACATTTCTATATCTGCTATCATTTTTTTGTAACACCAAAGGAGAGACTTCCAATAATACCACATCATCAGCATACATAAAAGTTCAATGTAAACAGTTACTACGGTATGTATCGTGTCACTTGTCAATTTGTTCCTGTGGGCACGAGAGTGTTGCACTGTCGATAAAAGTCGTATCGGCCGATTAAAGATCGCTTCACGTTGCATCACTATCGCATCGCTTCAGTAGGCATCGACTTCCATGCAATTCGTTTTTCAATGCTGGTGGGGGAAGGATATTACTGTAGTAGATGGGAGTAGAAGGTATTCTCCCAAGGGTGAAATTGACAATAAATGTTATTTTTTTAAAATACACAAGCTCAAGATTTTGCAGTGAACGCTAATTGCTACCCAGTGTACAACTACTCTTCTAGGGTAGGCTTGTATGATCTATTTCCTATTATTTTGCCTTCATGAAATACATCAGAGTATACAAATATTATACATTTGAAGCAAATTTATCAAACCAGTTATGGTTGAGTCCGGAAGTATGACAAATATTCCGTTAAAATAAATGGTTAAAGTTTAATTAATTAACGTTAATTTTGGTATATAATCTACAATAAGTTTAATCTTTTATTGTACCCATAATTTAACATGGTATGTCGGATGTTATAGGTATTTTTATCGTCATATGTTCATAGCTGCCCTCTTCTTGTTATATATTTGCAATTCAGATTCGTCCCTTCGCATTTGTACTGATTAGCAGCGTGGAGGACGAATAATTGATGGTTCTATTGATAAACACACGCTTTCAAAACGTAATTGCCCGAATTTCCATGTAATGCCGCTTTTAAATACTGTCTTCCCTAACCCAGCGCACCCTTGTCAATTTGTACACGTTTCTGATTAAATAACGTAAATAAAAACCGAATAGGTGTCCTCACTACTCTTTCGTTGAACTAAACCATTAAGCCATTAAAAAAATATTCGTACATCACGGTGTATAATTGTTATTGTTATGTATCACATTATATTCATATGCATACTAATAAGCGTCTACCACGATAAAATCTTGAACGCTCCAAAAAGATAAATCACTTAACGCTCGCTCAGTTCATTTTTGAACCGCAGTAAAATTTAATATTAACGTTTTGTTTTCGACCTTATTGATGATTCACAGTCGTCGAGCCCTACTTACAAATTATATGCAAATTTCGAGTGGACACATCTACTCTATTTTGGTAAACCAATGTAACATTCGAACCCGGGACCTTTACCATACAGAGCTGAGCGCCGTGTCAACGTTTAAACCGTTGCGGCCACCGACGCCCCTATACAAAACTATTGCTAATGTAAGCACATTCAAATCATGAAGTGATTCCCAATATAAAAATATAACGGTGTAGCGCTAAATAAAATTAAAAAATTGATAAGGAGTAAGTTTGTTATGTGTATGGATGGCAATCGTTAATCTATATATCGACTTATCGGTTTTCCGATATATCGAAAACTATATATTGGCGTCACCGTCAGCTTCACTGGAAGAAAAGAATGGTTTTGACAAAAGTTTTGACTTTAGCCTGTTCCTAGTTTGAAAAACTGTGGCAGCAGCTTTTGAAAACAGTCGCTCACTTGGCACTTATGTTGCTGGCACTGTAAATAATTTACAGGCGAGCTTATAAAGGTTATAAAACACAGTTCTCATTTCCTTCCAAATTCCGGTCGGTCCCTGAAGGGTTGATACATTTGATGAATAATATTGGGTCAACTCGTCAGACTCTCCTTTGCCCTAGATTTGTGTGCTATTGCTTTATGGTGTGCCCACATATCCAAGTTGCAACTTATAGTAGGTTCATTAGAATCCGAATCAGATTTGTTTTGCTACACAATCTCCCTTACTTGTTTAAATAATCTGGAAGTCGCAAGAGGATCTTCCAGATCAAGGCCTTTAAATCTATGATCTAACAAACAAGAGTACGATGGGATTGGCGACCTAGTACGTACATAACTCCGCCACACCTAACACTACGTGGTGTGAGGGCGGGGGACTTGGACGGTGTTTGGGCTTCCATCAGCATGCCACCACAAATACACAGGCCGATGCACGAGGGCAAGGGCCTCGGAACCCGAATATATCAAACGCAAATTACCGTGCACAACACATCACACAAGCAACACACAGTTCTCATCTGGAGGTAGCGATCTCCCGGTCCTCTCGAGTGTCCATGAACCCTGCACCTGTGACGGTGCAGGAGGAAAACTGGGTTACGGCACTCCCGGGCCGCGAGGTAGTACAGGCCGATTTAGCGGGATCGACTTGTCGTTAGCCTCATCATCCCGGGCCGCCCGGGTAGAAGAGGCTCCATTGGGGGACCCCACCTGAGTGACCACTTTCCGATAGTGTGGAAGAGTTCCGTCTCGAGAGGAGTATATCAGACTCCTACGAAGTGGAGCCTGAAGCGAGCGGATTGGGAGCTTTTCTCTGCGACGGTGTCGGCACCTCAGTTAATGTCGACACTGATCTTCTCATCTTTGAGCAGGAGATCAACCCCGCTGCTGGCAGATCCATCCCCAGGATCGGTGGGTCTACTTGTAGGCCACCGGTTCCTTGGTGGAGCGATGCCTGCAGCCGTGCACACGCGGAGAAGGAGCGAGCATTCCGGCGGTTCAGAAGACATGACGGAGGAGAACTTTGCAAACTTTAAAGTAAAAAGGGATATAGAGAAGTGTACCTTGTCCCAAGCCAAAAAGGAGGGTGTACCTGGCGAGGTATGTGTCTGAGATAGTCGGTACCGATATTGATCACCGATCGCAGGAGTGTGACGAAAGCCTCGGAGGTTGCCGAAGAACTGGCGCGGCATTTCGCCGCGTTGTCCAGTTCCGAAGCATATTCCGTTATCTTCCGACAAAGGAAAACCAAGACGGAACGCACTGAGATCGATTTCGGCGGCGGCACCAGTGATGCGTTGTGCAACATGCCTCTGACATGTGGGAGAGTTCGAGTCCGCGTTGGGGCTCGCCCGGAACTCAAGCCCCGGGTGTGACGGTATCCCATATGAGATGCTTCGCCACCTTCCCCAGGGTGCGAAGCGGCGCTTGTTGGACTTCTTAAACAACATATGAGATTCGGGCTCTTACCCCAATCGTTGACGAGAAATGCTTGTCATACCTATCCTTAAAGAGAGTAGGAACCCAAGCCTGGCTACGAGTTACAGACCGATTTCCTTGACAACCTGCTTGAGCAAAGCCCTGGAGTCTATGGTGAACGGTCGTCTGATCTGACACCTGGAGGCAAAGGGATTTTACAGCCAGTAAATGGCGGGATTCCGTAGGAATCGCTCTGCGGTGGTTCATGCATGTCTTCCCGAGGGCGACGTTCAGGACACGTTCTTGAACAGAGAGCACGCTCTGGCCATGTTCTTCGACCTCGAGAAGGCGTATGATACGACGTGGAGATACGCGATACTACGGAAATATCACGATTTCGGTCTAAGAAGCAAATTTCCACGGTTCCCCTAGGGTTTCCTGGAGAACCGTAGGTTCCGAGTCAGGCTGGGTACTGTGCAATCTAGGGAGCACGTTCAGGAGAACGGTATCCCTCAGGGTTCGGTGATGAGCGTTGCGCTTTTCTTCGGAAAATGCTCTTTGTCGACGACCTCTGCTTCTACCATTCGGGCAAAGATCTGGCGGAGGTCGGCTGTAGGATGCAGTTGGCGATAAACGATGTGGCTGCGATAGCCGAGGAAACAGGGTTTACCTTTTCCAATTCGAAAATGGTGTGTGTTAACTTTTGCAGATTGAGGAGGGCCCATAGCCCCCCTCAACTCTTCCTGAGGGGCACACCTTGGCACACCAAAAGTATTGGGATTAATCCCCCTACACTACGTGGTAACGAGGACGGCACAGAAAACTGTCATTAGTATTATCAAAGAGAAACCGATACTCCTGGCTCAACGAGACGACATGAACAGGATGTTTGAATTTAAACGAAACTTCCAAATAAACCTAGGTACCAAAAAAGAATGGGAACAGGAGAAAAACACCTTCTTTAAGAATGGCATCGTCTTTTGGTACACGGATGGATCTAGAACACAAGAAAGTGTTCTAGGCAGGAGTATTCGGTCCTGGAACCAAATACTCAGAAGCCATGGGAAAACGCACCAGTATCTTCAAAGCTGAGATTCACGCAATCGAGAGATATACTCAACTCAACTTGAATAGAGGGTACAAAAACAAGAAATAGCTATCATGTCAGATAGCCAATCAGCCATCAAAGCACTAAGTTCAAATACCATTAGTTCAAAGATGGTGCTGAACTGTAAACCCAAATTAAACATATTAGGGACCCAGAACAAAGCCAGCCTCGGCCGGGTCCCAGGACACAGGGGAGTAGAAGGCAACGATAAATCGG